GTTTTGCAGATTCCACATTATTCTTTAGAGTTGCATAGTATTCCGTCGTGTGTATGTACTGTAGTTTGCTTATTCATTCTTCTGTTGATGGGCACCTAGGTTTCCATCTTTTTGCCATTGTAAATAGTGCTACAATGGACATAGGTGTGCAATATCAGTTCTTGTCCTGGCTCCCACTTCTTTGGGATATATAGCTTATATTGGGATTTCTGGGTCAAATGGTGTTTCTAATTCCAGCTTTTTAAGGAATCTAACAATGGCATGAATTTGCAGATGGACTAGGGTAGTAGCAGGGGCAGATTAACCAGTTAGCTTGGTATGCACCAGCTTGCGTTGAGCAAGGTCCACACAGGCTTCAGTGTGTTTACTTGCTAATCTGAGGTAAGCAATTTTGCCTGGGCTTCACCACACATCTCTGACATGGTGAGGAGCTCTGGTGGTGCAGTGGTTAAAGCACTTGACTGCTAACCAAAAGTTTGGTGGTTCAAACCTACCAGCTACTCCATGAAAGAAAGATGAGGCAACCTGCTTCTGCCAAGATTTACAGCCTTGGAAACCCTCTGGGGCAGTTCTACTCTGTCCTATAGGGTCAGAATTGACTCAGTGGCAGTAGGTTTGATTTGGTTTGACGTAGTGGGGGTCAGGTGAAATTATGCACTGGAAATTGGTGGGAAGTCACAATTGGACCTGTGCGTTCCTTGCTTATTGGGTAACCCAGGCCTGGACAGTAGTAGTGAACTCCCCAGCCCTGGAAGCATTCAAGCAGAGGTCCAGCAGGGAATAACTTCTAAGACCTCTCCCATCTCTGTGATGGCTTTCCTCACACCTGTGTCTCTGTCTGCCCGCAGCCCACAAACACAAGAAACAGGACATGCTGCAGCCCTGTGACACGGAGTACCCCGTGTTTGTGCACCAGACGGCCATCCGGGAGACCAATGGGATCATCGAGTGTGGGGCCTGCCACAAGTATGGCTCTGAGGGCAGCTCTGCCTGACCCCAGTCAAGTCACATTCTCCCCTCCCCTGGCAAGACAGATGTCTAGGAGGGCTTTGTAACCATCACACACTAGCCCTGCCAGAGGCCCTGCAGGCTACAACTCCGTTGGGGTGATGTTTGAAAGCAAGAATAGAATGAGACAAGAAACAAGTTCACATTCCCTTAGAAATCCAGACTGTGCTGCGATGAGAAGTTATGAAAGCTTGAGGAGGCTCTCGGGGTGGATGGGGCCGGAGAAGGGCCCTCAGCTGCCCTTCAGAGCACTGTCAGGTCGCAAGGGACATCTTACAACCAGGCCTGGCTCCTGCATGCAGAAGCCCCAGCCAGACTTTCTCCTGGCACTACACTATCAGAGCTCCCTACTGTAAAGCAAGGAGCTCTGGTAGCATAGTGGCTAAGGCACTTGACTGCTAACCAGAAGGCTGGCGGTTCAAACCCACCAGCCACTCCTCGGAAGGAAGGTT